AGAAGAATTTAGAAGAGACTGTGGCACCAGGGACATCATTGCTAATGTCAGTCAGTTGGATCCTGGCTGGAAAGTAAGGAATACCAGAAGAATGTCTATTTGTGCTATGTCGACTGTGCAGAGGCATTTGACTGTGTGTATCATAACAAGTTGTGGCTGGCACACAACGGAAGTCCCAGAGCATTTAACTGTATTAAGCTGAACCTATACCTGGACCATGATGAAGTATTTTGGGATTCCCATTCTTAAAGTGAGCCACAGTTTGTTATGATCCACACAGTCAAATGCCTTTGCATAGTTATTGAAACACAGATAGACATTCCTCTGGTACTCTCTGTTTTCAGCCAGTATCCATCTAGCATTAGCTATAATAATGCCTAGTGCCCTGGCAATCCTGCCTGCACTTCGGGCAGTTCTCTGTTGATGTTTTTTTTTGGATAATTTTCGGTAGAATCTTTGCTTGCATGTGATATTGATATTGTTCTGTAATTTCTGCATTCCTGTCAGATCACCTTTCTTTGGAATGGGAACAAATAGGAATGGGCATCCTAAAACACTTGATCATGCTTATGTGAAACCTATACTTGGACCAGGAGACAGTTGTCAGAACAGAGCAAGGAAACACTCCATGGTTCAAAATTGGGAAGCATGTACGCCGAGGTTTGTCTTATCTCCATACTTTTGCAATCTATATGCAGAACAGATTATACTTGAGGCTGGGCTCTGTGAAGAGAAATGTGGCAACGGTATTGGAGGAAGACCATGAGTAGTCTGCTTTATGCAGATGACACATCCCTGTTTGCTGAAACTGAGAAGGACCTGAAGCGTTTGCTGCAGGTCAAGGACTGTAGCCTTCAGTATGGATTGAAACTCAGCATTAAGAAAAGATTCTTACCTCTGGATCGATGGCATCATGATAGATGGTGAAGAGATTGAGAATTTTAACAGCTTCAGTTTGATTGGCTCCACAGGAAATTAAAAGATTTGCATTGGGAAAGTCTGCTGTCAGAGACCTCTCCAAAGTACTGAAGAGCAACATTGTCAGTCTAGAGACTAAGGTGTGCCTGATCCAGTCCATGGTCTTTGCAGTTTTTTGCTATGCATCAGAAAGCCATGACTAGGGATAATAGAAGAATTCATGCCTCTGAGCTGTGGTTGTGGAGAAGAGTATTGAATATACTATGGCCTGCTAGGAGAACAAACAGGTTTGTACTGCAGAGGGTGAGACTTGGCTGCTCCATAGAGGCAAAGATTCTGAAGCTTTGGAGGGACCAGTCCTTGAAGAGTGACATCATACTTGGGAGGGTGGAAGGACAACACAAGAGAGGAAGACCCTGGATGAGATGGATTGATTCAGTGACTGGGGTAATGAGGGAGGGGGTGTGTGTGTGTCAGTGGAAATAAGATTGGTGCAGAAATAGAGCACTGTTTAGGAATGTTGTACATAGGGTCACTGTGAATCACAGGTGACTCGATAGCACATAAATAACATACCTGGACCCAGGAGGCTCTTTTGCTAACAGAGGGGAGTACACTGCATAGTTTAAAATTGAGAAAAGAGTTTGTCAGAGTTGTATTCTCTTTCCATATCTGTTCAGTCTGTATGCTGAGCAAATTATCTGAGAAAGTAGACTCTATAAAGAGTGTGGCATCAGGATTGGGGGGGAGATTCATCAGTAACCTGTGTTATGCAGATGACACAACCTTGCTTGATGAAAATGAGTAGGACTTGAAACACTCGTTGCAGAAGATCAAGGAAGCAAAATCTTACGGAAGATTATCCAAAAATTACTAGAACAGTACATCCACAGAGGACTGTGAGAAATACTATCTGGATTTTTATTTTTATATTTTAGCATGTGCTCTCAAATCAGACCATACCGGTACAGGAGGAGATTATCCCTCCTTCTCCAGCAGAGTGTCTGGTGTATTCAAACCGTGAACCTCTGGGATTGCATTGTAGTTTCTTGCCACTAGACCACAAGAGCTCCCTTACTATTGGATTTTGAAGAGGCTGTGGCATGTGGCACTAGGGTAAATCTGATGGATCTTGGCTGGAAGCAGTGATCATGATAGATGGAGAAAAGATTGAGGTTATTAATGATTTTTTCTTTCTCAGATCCATAATCAGTACCTTTGACAGCAGCAATCAGGAAATCAAGACATCCTGCATTGGAAAAATGCAGAAGTCACAGATTTCAGAGTACTGAAGAACAGTGTTAGTTTTGAAACTGAGGTGCACTTGATCGAAACTATGATCTTTTCAGTTGCTTACTGTGCATCTGAGAACTGGACAGTGACTAAAGAGGACAGAAAAAGAATTCCTTTGAGTTGTAGCCCTGAAGGAGAGTATTGAACAAAACATGGACTTCCAAAGGAACAAACAAGTCCATCCTGGAGAGAGTGAAACCAGGTTGTTCCATGGAGGCAAGGGTTTTTAAAATTCTTGTCTCAAGTACTTTAGGCATATTGTCAGAAAGGGCCAGTCCTTGGAGGAGAAGATCATGCTTGGAAGGATGGAGTGTCATCACAGGGGAAGACAGTGAATCAGATGGATTGACACAGTGCAGGTGTGTCAGAGATAGGTTCAGAGCCATTGTTCGTAGGGTCATTCTGAGTTGTAGTGAACTCGGTGGCACATAACAGCAATAGCAGCAGCAACAGATAAAAGTAAGAGTGAACACAGATATAACTTCATCTTTCATTATTCATAATTTTTTTATAGGTTCATAATTTTGACAGAATATGTCAGTTTTGTTGTATTTCTAGCATCTTAACATCAGGTGTTAACAAACTTAATTTTCACTTGTATCCTATTTTTTGAAGCATATAGAGTTTGGCACTGGTCATTTTGAGTTCTTTGACTAAAGATAGATTCATGACCTCACAAGTAGGAAATGTCATTTTCTTTTAAATTCCTTTTCCTTTAAAAATATATTGCAAATATTCTTAAAGGTGGGTTTTCTTGTTTTGGTTGAGGCACAGATGTGGAGTGTTTGGTTGTTTTTTATTTCCTAACTTTAGTTAGTGTGTTTGGGATGAACATTGTTCTATGGTCTGTCAATTTGCTGTACTGAGGTAACTTGAGGTTGCTGTGATACTGAACACTGTGACATTGATGTGTCCAGTGCCATAATGTTTACTTATGTTGGACAGTGATTGGTGGAGTTCCCAGATTAAGACAGGATTGGAAGGAAGAGTGGCATCCACTTCCTAACAGTATGCCTCCAGAAACTCTATGAACTTAGAGAAACGATGATAGTTAAAGAACAGGGTTCAGGTCTTTTGTTCATAGGGTTGCTATGACTTGTGCTCATGCTTGATGGCACTTAACAACAACAAATACGATAAAGACTTAACAGAAATATATTCTTGATATGAATATTGCATCAAATACAATTTTTCTAATTAGGAAATGAATACCTGTAATTTCTTTAAGAATATGCTGTATTGTAGAAAACAAAATAGGATTTGATGTTAGAGATACAGAACATGAGTCTTGGCACCATTCTCAGTACCTATTTTTAGCTTATAGAGGAGAATAGTGCCAATAAATGATAAAAGATACAGTAAATGTTGTTACTATAAGGCACTGTTTCTTTGTTTCTTCTTAGAGAATATATAAAATTCTTACCTGAAAGACACTGAAGACTTAGTACTTTTTAGCTACATTTATCATACTAATTCTCAGATGATCACTTTTTTTAAAATTTATTATTAATTTCAGTGAAAATTTACAGACACTGGGCTTCCATTCATTCATTGTTGCACTTTTCTCCCCTCCCAACCCTCCTCCCCAGTACACTACCCTCTTGGAAAAGTAAAAGGAAAATTCTTTCATTGTTTACGATCCCTCCCCCTAGGTCCATTCCACTATGTCCACTATGCAGGCTTCACTCTGGACTCCTGTCATGACAAAAATACCTAATCACATATCCCTTTTAAACTTTGTTCTCCCATATCTGTTTCAATGCAGTATACATTATGAAACCCATCTTTCTCAGGCTCCCCCCCAACCCCGAGGTCAGTCCTGTTTTACAACAGTGACACCATGCAGTATTTTTTAACACTTCAGTTTGTAAGTGATGACTGCTAATTGTTGTGTGAAATTAAAATTATTTTGTATTTACAAAAATTTTCATTCTAATTTTTATCTATTTTGTTATTTAGTATAATCAAGTGAAAATTTGATTCCGGTAAAAAGTATTTGATGAAGTAGATAACGTAGCAAAATATTTGTGTAATTTGAGATTTAATTTTTTACTTCTTTCGCTCTACCTTTTCTACCTTGTAAACCTTTTAATACATTAGGTTTTGATTAAACATGGTAACTAATTGATCATTTATGGTTAATGTTACAAAATAAAATGTCTGTACATAGTTGAATGGAAAATAAATATATGTACATGTTAAAATATTTTTTAAAATATATTTTTGGAGTGATGAAAACTTTTATATAAGCTTTATTACAAAACTATTTGAAATATTTTTTATGTTGGAATAATTTTTCTTATTCCATTTAATAACAACACTTGGAAAAGATCTGTATTTAAATAAACTAACTTGATGTTTGTAAATTTCAAAAATTATCACTCTTCTGAGCATTAATTTAACCCAGAAAATGAAATTATCTGTTAATTTACATGTTCTTGCTCCACTGGAGAAGGAGAGCCCAACTCTTGTGCTAGTCGGATCCAATTCGACAGTACACCAAATTAAAAATAAATTAAAAAAAAATTAATTTACATGTTTTTTCATTGATTTTTTTTTTTAAGACAAGGAATTAAAAGTGCCCTAGTTTTAAAAAGGACAGAGCAGTGATTTTAACATAGAAACATTTTAAACATTCTAAACATTTTAGAAACATTTCTTCACATTTTGGAAATGGAATAATTTATTTTCCTATTGTCAAATTTGGGGTTTTTTTCGTGTAACAGAAGTGATTAGAGAAATTTTCTTGATTACTAATGATATCAGACTATAAAACTATTCTGTTGCAGTATTCCTTTTACTATTCAGCGACTATGCGAATTGCTAACGGATCCAAGGAGAAACTATACAGGAACAGACAAGTTTCTCAGAGGAGTAGAAAAGGTATTTTATAATTGCTATTCTGTTAAAACCTTATAGATTATAAAACATCATTAAATTTCCCCAACATTTCCCCCAAATTGTAATCTATATTTAAGAGAGGGGCAGAAGAGGGTTAGTCACTTATTATCTTGAAAATTCATTTTATACATCAACATATTTATGTTTTTGAGAGGGTCTGCAGTTTCTAGTGTTTGTGCAAGTCTATTTCACTTAGAATTAACTTTCCCAGTTCTAGGGTTTGTTTTTGTTAATGTGCCATCAAGTCATTTGGGACTCACAGCAACCCTATGTACAGCAGCTCAGAACCGTGCTCTGTCTTGATTCAGTTTTATTGTTTCTGACACGTCTACCCCCTTTACTCCAGAACTCTGTTGGCAGCACAGCTGTTTATAACTGAACCACCAGAGCTCTCTTATTACTGGAATTGGGGCCCAAAGCAATTTTTTAGGAGTTTGCTGTAAATCTTAGTGTCATAAGGGCTTACTGTGTTTAGATAATTTTCAGTGCCTTCATTTGAGTAATATTCCTGAAGGGCAAGAAACTGAGATGATTCATTAGTACTTTTCCAGCTAGACAACTTTTAATAATCATACCATATTTTGTTGATCTTTGAACGAAAAGGTAAAGTATCCTTTCAGTTATATTTACATTCACATCATGGCAGTAGCAGCAGTTAATTTAATCCAGTTAAATGTGAAGAAGATTAAACATAAAGCACCAAGTTTAGATTTTCTTTGCACGAGTATTTTATTCTCTAAATATCCTTGGGTGATTTCTGTTTAAAGTAAAAGAGCCAGGTCTTCCAAAGAAAGAGCATAAGGGTAAGAAAATAAAATTGCCTAACAATATGTGGTGCCATTGGAGTGTCAGATGCCATAACAGTTACCCATGGTGGACAGTGGTGGAGCTCCCACTTTAAGACAGGGTTGGAAGCAGAAATGACATACACTTCTAAACAGTATGCCTCTGGAAACTCTCTGAACTTCGGTAATGACGATAGTTATAGAAAGGGTTCAGGCCTTTTGTTCATGGGGTTGCTATGAGTCATGCTTGACTGGAAGGCAATCAACAGCAACAACAGTAATACATGATTTAGTAAGAGATTATATTTTGGTCCTTTTTCTGCTTTTAAATTTTTTCTTTATGAGAGAATTATAATAAGTTTTGTTTTTACAGAATGTGATGGTTGTTAGCTGTGTTTATCCTTCTTCAGAGTAAGTACAGTTTTTTCCTATTTTGAATACGTTATTCTATTGCCTCAACATGTTCTTACAATATTTTTTACTTATTTTATGTGTAAAAAAGCATAAAATTCATAATCACTGTAAAGCCTCCAGCCAGTTTTCATAGTAAGAATATTACTAGCATTTTTGACATGTCCATTTCTCTTATATAGAGTTTGGGTTAGAGAACTCTGGTATATATTTATTAGGAATCCATAGAGTATGATTCCTAGGTTTGGTATAATTATTTAGGGCACTTTTGTTCTTTTTGGCAAAAAGCTTGCAAATGAAAACTTATTTTAGGTAGAATATAGATTTTTTTAAATTTTTTTATATCCCCCCCCCAGTCTTGGCATGACTGATATTCTAGACCGGGTAATTAATTCTTGGTTGTGATACCAGCACTGTACATTGTTTAGCAGGCCTGCCCAACTCACACCCTCTAGGTCAATCACAATGTCTGTGCCTTTGTTTTCATAAAATTAAGACAGTTACAATAGTGAATTTATTTTTAGAATTTTTAAAAGAATTCTAAACCACTGCTATTGATTAACTTCTAGTTAACATTGACATTCTAGGACAGAGTAGGCTCCAGGGTTCTGTAAATCATTACAAAAATAGCATTTGAGTCTCTCCTGGGGAGTGGCTGGATGATTTAAAATATGAGACTTTGCGTTAGCAGCTTAATTCACTGTACTACCACAGCTCATTATTTCTCATAAAAGTGTTTTGGAGTTTTTGTTTGTTTGGTGTGTTTTTTTAATTTTTTTTGTTCTGTAAATGGGAGAATCGTTTGGATTCATGATTCTTAACAAGAGTAAAGAATTACTACCATTTTCTTTTTAATAGGAAAAACAATTCTAATAGTTTAAATCGAATGAATGGTGTTATGTTTCCTGGAAATTCACCAAGTTATACTGAGAGGTGAGATTATTGGTTTTTATCTGAAGAATTCTAATTTTTTCCCAATTTTGAGTAGCAGGTTCAGTGTAAATTTCAAATTAGACAAAAATCTATTCCAATGATTTTAAGGGGAGATTAACATTGGCTGTGATTGCTATTGTTGGGTGTCAACTTGGCGGGCCCATGATTCTCAGTGATTTACCAGCTGTGTAATAATGTGATAACTTTCCATTTTGTAATCTTACGTGGTCATGCTCTTCATATAATGCCAATTTTTGCAAAATAGCCTGGTCCTTAGAATCTAAGCACGTTATGCAGATTATTGAGAATGGTGTCATTAGTTTTGTACCACATATACTGTTGTGTACCATCAAGTTGGAACCAACACATAGCTGACCCTCTGGCAGGTTTTCAGAGGCAGTTAATCACATGGGAGGAGATTGCCCAATTTCTTTTCACCAGAACTCCCTGCTACATATGCTAGAGAAATAAAAATCAAGCAGATACATCTGACTCTTTGGAGAATTGATTTCATACTAAAATGATAAAATGTCTCTTTATGTGTGTGTTTGTGTATATTTGTGTGTGTGTGTGTATATATATATATATTATATATATAAAATGGTTATTTATCTTACCATAGGTCAAATATAAATGGTCCTGGAACACCTAGGCCATTGAATCGATCAAAGGTTTCTTTGTCAGTCCCTATGACAACAAATGGCTTGCCTGAGAACATAGACAGTAAAGATTCAAACTTACAGCAGAATGAAGATAAAAACCATAGGTTTGTATGTGATTATATATATTTTAGAACTTATCAAACAACATTAATACTGTTCAGCATTTTTTGTGTATTACTTGGAATTTACTGTTATTTGAGAGACTAGATTTTGACAAAGTTATAGCAACTGTAGCTTTTGTTTGCGGCTTCTTCAGCACATTCTGAAGGTAGACATAGAATAAGCTTAAATCTACTAATTAGGGGAATCTGTATACAGGGTCTTAGCAGTTTTTATAGTGAACAGTACATGCTTTTTTTTAGAAAGTTAGTTGTAAAGAGTGACTAACTTTTAAAAAGGATTTTGAATTTGTGAATGGTTTTTCTGTATAGATTGTATATAGCCTACCCCACCCTGACATTCTAAATTACACTTAGGAAAAGAAGACTAAGCAAACAGAAGGACTTAGAAAGTCTGTACCCTTATAGGAACTTAAAGTTTTATTATAAAACTCAAATTTGATGCCATTGAGTTGTTTCCAACTCTTCAAGAACCCTCAGTTTTATTTCTAAGAGGAAATTCTTAATGGGAATTGATTCTTCCCCCTTCCCTCCCCCCCTCAGAAGCAGGGTGCATAGACTATGCCACCACAGCTCTTTTTTGTTTTATTTTAGAAGAACCTTTAACTTACTGGAGAAAATGAGTAAAGTTTAAAATGTCAACTAGCTCTTAGTGATAAATATTTATTAAACTGTTTAGGTTCCCTTGAAATGATCTATACTTTTTGTTCTATGTTGTAGTGTAACTTTGGTACTAAAAGTATGTGGTGTGTTTTTTTTTTTTTTAATTTTTTAATTTAAAGTTACTAGACTTTAAAAATGAATGTAGAAGATTAAATTATTAATGACACTTTAAAATTGTTTATAGTGACTCTCCAAAATCTGAATCAGAAGGTTCCTCAGTAAGCCCTATTAAAAATAAACATCCAGATGAAGATGCTGTGGAGGTTGAAGGTCATGAAGTAAAAAGACTTAGATTTGACAAAGAAAGTGAAGTAAAAGAGACAGCCAGTCAAACAACTTCCAGTGAAATTTCTTCAGTTATGTTAGAAGAAACAGAAGCATCATCTCCATCTCAGAATAAAGATACAGAAAGTAGTTATACCAAACAGCACTGTTCAGAAGAGGATGAAGATGAGGATGAAAAGGAAGAAGAAGAAGGTATTTAGAGACCATCTATAAAAGGGTGGAAAGGAGATCCTCAAATTCTTACATAATTTTTTTTTTGTGAAAGAATTTAATGTTATTGAACTCCTTTGAATGCTGATGTTCGGTTTCTCTCCCACAAATATAATTTTTACTGAGTTTTAGGGGTTATGATTTGAACTGTAGAATATCAGAATTCATGAAACTTAATAATAATAAGCATTTGCTTATTTTTAGTGTCTTTTGTGACATCAGGAGAAATGATTGGAGAAAGAAAAAATCAAGAAAAAGAATCTGATGATGCCTTAACTGTGAATGCAGAGACTTCTGAAGAAAATAATCACATGGAGGAATCTGATCTGTCTCAAGCTGAGAAAGTTTTACATTCTGAAGGTAGTGAAAATAGAAGCCTTGTAAGTAGTGATTCTGACTGCCAGGAAACAGAAGAATTGATAGATTCCAACTCCAGTAAAATTGGAGAGAGTCTTTCAAAGTCATTAATGGAAAATGATGAAGCCATAGAAGTCACAGATGAACCGATGGAACAAGACTAACTATTTAGAACCTTTTAGATACAGTATTTTGCATACGGTTCTGGTTTTACACTGTATAAAACTTTTATGTGATAAAGTGGACCTTTAGTTTTAAAATAGAAGCAGGTTGTAAAATTAAGTACGTTATAGAAAAAATCCTGAAAGAGTTGTACGCATAAGAACTGAATGTCAGCTCCTAAGTCCTGCTTACCGCTGACAGGTTTTAGATTGGTCAGATCAGTGGTTTGTGTATAGATTTTTTGTTTGTTTGTTTTTATTTTTTTGTGTGTTTTTTTTTTAATTTAGAATGAAAGTTTTTAAACTGGAAAATAAGAATTATAATTTTGAAAACCCTTTTGAAATTACCACATTACATTTATATACATATGTAAGAAAGCTTTTTTGTCTTGTTTCTTTCAGACAGCTATAGCAGTTTTTGTATTTTGGTCATAGTTCAACATTTTGACCTGTGAATTACAGAGTTTCATGCTGGTTTCCAGATTTTGTTTGACTGTTCAATAGAACACACACACTCACACTTTAAGGAGTTATATTTTTTTCTGTTTCTATATAGAGATGAATGCAGTGGATACTTTTTCTATTGGTAATGATTGAGTTCACCTCTTTCAAAAGAGGGGTTTTTTTCTCTTCTGAGTAATTAAAATAAAATCTGGCCCTTGTGAAGCCCTGAAATCTTCACATCTATTGAAATACCAGGTTAAATACATTCCAAGACATCTGTTAAAACGGAAAGATTTCAGTATTTATGGGGGAAAAATGTGCTTGATCTTGGAAGTTGTGTTCAAACATTAGCTTACTATTTTGGAGAATGAAGGCTTATAAAGCAGTTCTCAGAAGAACTGGGCAGATTCTTTTGCCTTTTGCTTGCTTTTCTGAACATTGTGAATATTACAGATTTCTTTCTAAATTATTCTAGAGTATACAGATGCCAATGGTATGAAACACCACAGTCCTGGAAAATTTAATATATTACTTATGTAATATATTACCTGGTCTAAATGACTGAAGCTTTAGGGGTGCATAGATACCAACATAATTTGTATGACATTTTGAAGTAAATTAAATATTTTTAACATGCTTCTCTGACAGCCAGTGTTATATTTTTCAAATCAACACAAAGCACAATGATTAAATATTTTCAAATTCACGTATTTAAAGTCATGCAAACTACAACTTCTCTGTCAAAATTACTGGCTGCCATTTATACCTGTTTCTTCAGCTATACCTTTTGATATTAGATTTTTAAATTTCTGTAAAGTAGATTTTGTAGAATGTAATGTGTTCACTGCCTTTGTGAAGCACTATATAATTGTATAATTTCTGTGTGTAAACTGAATGCTTGGACTTTCCATAATAGTATTCATATAAAGCAATAAATACTAATGTTATGAAATATTTGAGTACATTTTTATCAAAGTATGAAAATTTTTTTCTTTTAGTTTCAGATACCCGAAGTACACAGATGAACTTATAAAACTGATGCAAACCATTTCTGACACTGTATCATATTCTGGGGTGACTTGAGGGTGGGATTTAATATAAGTTTTGCATTTTGACTACTTATATTCTTGTGACTAAAAATACCAAAATGATTTTAATCCTTTTATGTCTGTATAGTACTTGACTGTCAGTTTCATAGATGTTTGCTTTCTGTCTATGTCTAGTAGTTGAAATAAAAATTTGCATAGTGATTTACTAGTCCCAGGAAGGGTGGAAAACATTCTAATTTTATTCTTTTTAATTTTGAAAAAAATGTTAAAAAGAAGCAAAATTTAAATGTGACACTCATTTATAGTAACTTGTTCATTTATTTTGCCAGTGAGAACATATTTTAAACTTTTTAAGTTTAGAAATTTTTCTTTAAAATATTTATGAAATTACTGTCAATAAACCTATTCTCTAAGATCCTCAAACCTCTTGATATTTTTATTTTAATTATAGTGCCATGGACCATTTACAAACAAATTAGTCTTTACTTTCGTTGCTTATAAGTTGCTTATAAGATTAGCATCCTGACTTTGAGGTCTGTGGTTTTATTTGTAAACTTGCAGTTGTTGTTTTTGCAAGGGCAAGTATATATTTCTTTATTAAATAAAGTAAAATATGGTGAATGTACCAAAATACAATCACTTTAACTCTATTGAGAGATCTGCATTTTACTATTTATTAGATAATGTTGATCATAGATCAGACTTACTGCTGTTTATACAGACAGTTATAGAATGCTCATGGAAAATCTTTTTTAGGATAGATGGAATATTTCTGTAGTTAAATTGGGAAATCTTGTTCAACTGTCTTAAGGTACTGATGACCATTTGGAAATACATGTCCTCAAGTATACATTGATGCATTTATATGATTGCATAATGAAAATACTACTTCTAATAATAGTAACCAGTTTATGTGCAAATTTTTTAAAGGCTAATTTTAGGGACATACTTTTAGTATAAGTCAAGCAAAGTCAATAATTATAAATACTCTTACTCTTTTTTTCTAAATCTTGAGCAGTTAACTTGTTAGACTGAACCCAAATGTAAAAGTAATATGAAGAAAGATGACAAGGGAGGTGAGAGTATATATTGAATGTTTTTAGCACTTTTTCTCTTTAAAAAGTGAAAGGTTATCCTAATAAACTTTTGAAAATACATTTTTTCAATTCTGAAGATGTAGCAGGAAAAGAAATGAGTGGAAATGTCAATTTAAATGTTAGATAAGTTTATTTCAAATAGGGTTTATTTTAACTATGCTTTTTAAAAGTATCAAATTAACTATCGAGTTGTCAGTCAGGGAACCATTAATTTTTTGTTGTGAAAAGGCATCCCAGAAAAACCTGGGTCAGAAAGTGCCCTGTTGCATTGAGCTTCAGAGTGTTTTGTTTTGCTGGTGTAGATAGGCATGTGTTTATGCATTTTTGCATTTGTAAAACCAGGTAGCAATTTTTCAGATAATGTAAGTGTAATATACTAGTTTACTTAAAGTACTTGGGCAGGATCTAATGCTGCTGAAATGTTTATGAAAAATGTAACTTGTGGTAAGGATGAACTTTGCAACTTTTAGAACCAAAGGAAATAAAAATTTGGGTAGTTTCAAATTGTCTTCTCAATACAAGTTTCTTAAACACATTGGTTTTAATAAGGTAAAGCTCAGTGCTCTTGAGATTTGTGCTAATCATAAATGGTTGAATGAAAAAGCACCTTGTAATTTTATATGGAATTACTAAAATTAGGGTTACAGATTACTGGCCTAGTAAGAATGCTAATATGTATTGGTTAGAATACATCTCATATTTCACATTTTAAGATAACTCAGTACACTCTCTTCAGAGTTTTATTTTAACTTGGAACCTAGATTACTTTGCCAAATGTATTATTTTCATAATGCAATAAAATAAAAATTAGATGAATATCTTCATGTGTCAATTATTTATTTGCCATAATAGTTTTACCCATCCAACACAAGTGGTTCGGAATACACAAGCATTGTCAGGTCTTTAAGGAGAGTGCTTTGTGCATGACTTAAATGCATGTTAATAATGATAAGGTGTTTCAGGGTACCTCTGGATTATATGGCAGTTGTGGTTCTCAAACATATTTTTATTAAAATCAATACTTAGCATTTTTAAATTTTTTGGTTTAATTTCATACTAGTATTTGAATTAGAATCCTTTTTGAAATTTCATGTTTCAGGACACAACAGAGGAAAAAGGGTGTAGGACATACAAGTGGAGAGGGATAATTTTGTTTTCACCTCTGCTCTCATTTCCTTATTATTGCATCATAAGTAGCTACATCTCATTTCTGTTGATTGTTAATCAGCACATTTTATGCCTTAGTTAACATTTGATCTCTAACTTAAGGTACTTAATTATAAAATGATGTGCTGTGCAGTTCTCATTTGATGGTAAGAGAACTGATTTCTTTGAACTAGAAATAAATTTGATATAACACTACTTGCCTATCTGAAATGAAGAGTCTCAGTTCTCTTATCAGTTGGATTTTTATGTGAGTTTATTGTAGACTTTCAGGCTGAATGTCAGCAATTCCCTGGAGAGTCCACAGCCTTAACTGATCTTTACTCTGTGGCTGGCAAGTGGTAAAATCAAGAGGTTGATAAACCTCTCCACCTAGTATGAAAGTTTAATGGATCCTACAGATTCTTTTCTTTTGTAATCACTTTGAGTGTGCCAGCTTCAACTTGGAAACCTTTATTACTGCTGTGTTTGTGAAATAGGTCTTTATTGTGAAATCAGTGGGTTGTTGGATTTTTCAGTGAGGTAATGTGCATTCCCAACAACAGACGATTTGGAAAACGTTAAGACTAACTGCTTTTGGCCTACACTCACAGAAAGAATATATCTTCACCTGATCTGCAAATTAGTTATGCTAGGTCAGTAGATTAGGTCAGTAAATGCTTAAATTGAGAAACTTCTAGTTGAGTAAATATTTGAGGTTCGTTAGTACTGTGCTATCTTAATTTTTTTTCCATTATGTTTTGCTTGCATTTCTTAAAATATTACAGAAAAAATAAATTTTAGTTAATGATGGCTAACAATTTCCATGTATGTGCTTTACAGGATTCATGCACGCTCCTTTTCAATTTGGTTCGTTAGGTGCTCTCAAGTCAACTATTACTCATAGCAACGCTGTGAACAACAGATTGAAACTTGCTCTATCGCTGTGCAATCTTCATTATCTCTGATATATTCAAGTCATTTGTTAGATATTTAAATGCTGTGTGGGTGCGTGTGTGTGTGCACGTGCGCGCGTGTACGTACCATCAAATCAGATCTGACTGGTACAGGAGGAGATCGCCCCTCCTTCTCCAGCAGAGCCCCTGGTGGATTTGAACCACATACTTCTAGGATTGCAGTGTAGCTTCTTGCCACTAGGCCACCAGATCTCCCTGATCGATCCTTTTGAGAGTTGTCATCTTCGCCACTGACCTCCACTTTTCTTT